CCCCAAAACCCCAAAACCCCAAAACCCCATACGTAAAAATAATCATGAAATTCATTAGAATGGAATTAGAAAAGAAATATAAAAATATAAAAGTAAAAATGAGTTCAAAGGGTGGAGATAGTTTCAGAGATCAAGAGGAGGAAAAACGTAGATTTGATTCATAAATATACCAAATAGAGAAAAAGATGGATTCCAAGTATGAAAAAGGCGATGGCTCCTCTAAGAATAACTCTGAAAAGAATAACTATGAACTGATGGAGTAATGTAAGATAACTGGCAGTGTTAATTTGTATTTTACAGAGCTTGATTTGGAGCTTTCAGAGAGTTCACTTATGTCCAAAATGGAAAGGAAAAAACAATTTGTGGCTAATATGCAGGCCATCCAGGATAAGAAATAGAGATAGTGGTTGATAAAGCATGGCAAAGGTTATCTTCTAGATTTCTAAGATCAGTAAGTAAGATTGAATTTGGGATCGGCAATATAACTCTACCTGCCAAACAATACCCAGATTTTTAATTTAAACATAACTATAAAATGAGAAGGGCTAGTCTAACCTTGATTCATATAGATAAATAAGGAAATTAAAGGAGTGTTTTGGGTCGCTTGACGGAGACGGTTCAGGCTCAATAGGTATAGAAGAATTAGAGGAGCCATTGATAGGTCTGGGCTTTGCTGACACTCGAGATGAAGTGTAAGAAATGGTAGATGCTGTTGATGAAGATGGTTCAGGACAAATTGAATTTCCAGAGTTTTTGTCAATCATTAAAAATTCTGACGGCAATGAGAAAATGGGTAAAATCAACAAATTCTTCAAGGATATGACAAGTGGACAGCTTGCTGGAAATGATCTATCGTTCAATTTACTAGTATAGAAGCTGAGAAGGGATTACTTAATGGATGCTATTATGTCAGGTGATGTGAAAAAGAAGGAGTTTGGAGAGAAAATTCTGAGAAACGTTAGCAAACAAGTATAGGCCCAGAAATTCAAGAATAAATTCCAAGGAAATTCATGAGAAAAGGTTCTATAATTATAGCCACCTAGCCATATATACTTCATGTGAAGAGGTTGATTATTCTAGTGATAAGTTAATTTTAGTCATAAGTTGTTTAAAAAATTAAGTAAAAAGTGAATAAAGAGAAAACAATAGCATAGTTCAGTAATGTGCGAGATCTTTATTTATTTAAATCTTATGATTAATTATAGTTTAAATATAATAATGATTCTATAAATTTAGAGGACTAATACAATCTTTCCAGTGAGGACATAATAAGAGCAATTTTCCTTCAATACTCCTTAATTGTGTTTAGTAGATAATAATGCGTGGTGACATAATTAAGATCATCATTATTGAGACAGTTAACAATATAGCTTCTTGGAAATCCATGCTTTTCAATCTCACTAATCAACCTGTCATCAAGGACTATAGTCTATGCTTAGCCTAGATTAATATTTTTCTCGTATTCTTTATCCTCTTCCTCCTCCTCTGTTTTCTATCTATCAATAACCATCCTCTCTAGCTTTTGCCATTCAGACTGCTTCTTTTTATTGCCTTCATGTCCATCTTCATTTTAACCATATTCATCCTCCTTGTCAAAACTTGTTTCAATAGATCCATTCTTTTTCTTCTTTTTTTCTTCTTCCTCCTTTTTATCCTCTTCAGTATCCTAGTGATAAACACCATTGTCAAGTTCCGCGTTGTTGTTAGCTTCGTATTGTCGATCGATCTCCTTAACCTTTGCCGCAAATTTAATATTTTTCTTATCTATCATTAATTCTTAGATACTTTTCCTATTATGGAAGTTTTCATCGATATGAGATCTGGTCGAATTAAAAGGAGCCAGTATAACACTCTTTGTAGAAGCATTCTTGACTAAAGAGTTCTATGTTGAATTCAGCATTTATTCTGTAAAAGGATCGGTATGTACAATTTCTCCATCTCCAGCATTTGCTTATTCATTCTTAAAATTGTAATAAGCAAACTCTTGTATCACCTTTTCCTTTTCCTACTCTGTGAATACACTAACTTTTTCTGGAATATCTTGCATCCAAGGATGCTTAAATATTTCTGAAATCTTTAATCTCTTGACAGGATCTCTCTCTAGTATTCCCTTTAGCAAACTTATAGCTTCAGGACTGATTTCTTCTTTAAAAGTTGTTTGACATTTAGTAATCTATTTCTAGAGTTCAGTCATATTGTTTGCCTTAAAAGGGACAGTTCCATACAACATAGCATACAGAACTACTCCTGCACTCCATATATCACTTGAATACCCTTCATATCCCTTATTTTCAAAGACCTCAGGCGCAATATAGGCTGGTGTACCACATTGCTCAGTCATTATTTCTCCTGGCTTAACAAGTTTGCTAACACCGAAATCACAAATTTTTATATCTCCTTCGCTGTTCAAGAGAATATTATCAAGCTTTATATCTCTATGCAAGATATTCTTTGAATGACAATATCTTAATCCCTCAATAATTTGCTTAAACATGTGCTTAGCAACATCCTCCTTTAGCTTTCTTCTCCTTCTGACATACGTCAATAAGTCACCAGACCCGCAAACTTCCATTACGAAAACGATGTGCTATGCAGTTTCAAATGACTCATATAGCCTAACAATACTGATATGCCTAGTTCTTCTGAGAATATTGAATTCCTGCATAACTTTTCTCTTTGATGCTTCCTCAGATAGGAACTGCTTATTGATAGATTTTAGAGCAACAAATTTGTTTGAAAGTCTATGGATAGCCAAATTTACCTTTCCAAATGCTCCTTTACCCATAACTTTGCCAATTTTATAAAAATCAGTTTATGTTGTAAAGTTAGGGTTGGTAGAGGGTTTTGAGAAAGCTATTTTAACTTTTTTGTTAATTTTAAAATTCATCCTCGATCTAGGAGTTAATGATGGATCACTAGCCGCTGATTCTTAGGTTTCTATTCTTTCTTCGACAGGCTTTAATAGAGTTGTTGAAGGGTGGCTACTCTTATTATAGAAAGTACTAGATCTTTCATCTTTTTATAATATTGGGGAAATTTGGTTGCTACTTTATTTATCGAAGTTACTTTTTTTATTCACTATTGACTGGCTTATTTAATTTATCCCTTGATCTTAAATCATCATTTCATTTCCAATAGAAATTTCCTTTTAAGATTTTTGGCTTTTTATGCCCAGCTTTTGAGGTACCATCATATTTTTCCCAGTGTTGACAAGTACTGATCCTTGTTTATAATTAATGCTCTTATCTGATTCTAGAGTAACTTAATCAGAATTATGTCTAACGTGCTTGGCCTATTCTAAACCGACTTTTCTGTGAGAGTTAATCAAAATATTTGTATTTTGAGGGGGGAGACTGCCTATTTATGAATAAGGTCCTCTTCCACTTGTCATAGGATATTCATTAATTATCTATCTTTGTGCATTTGGGTAATTAGATTACCCCTAAGAGATTTTCTATAGTGATAACTATTTCTCATAGGCATTTTTAGAAATATCAACTTGACTATTAGCTATATTGATATTTTACATAGAGTTAGGATTTTAAATTTGGTGTTTCATAGCCTAAGCATATTAATTAATAGCTTGTTAATTTATCTAACCTCTGTTGCTTAAACTTTAAAATATCTAATTTCCATCACTTATGCTTCTTTTGTGTGGACCTGCTTATACTATGGATTTGCTCTAAGCCTTCTGAACTAATTACTTAGAAATAGTAATCTCTGATGGAGCCTAAATGAAATTTAAATTTGCCAAAGTTGTAACTCCACCTCCTACATTGACAGATTCTATCAATTGCTTTTACTTTAGATGCTTCTACTTTTTAATCTTATCACTGTATACAATCTATTAGTTATTTTATAGAGATGCAGAATTCAAAGATGTTTAATTGTTAGCCGTTCTAACACCATGTGCAGAAACATTATAGGATTGATTAGCAGAGCTCTTGCCAGATGTCTTGTCTATCAATTTAGGTGTTTGTTTTTATTCTACACCCTATAAAGTCATTTTTGTTATTTATGATCCTGCTAATGTTTGTTAATTATTAATTCTATAGCTCTAAGTGTTAGCGCTTCCATTAAGTCTGTTACCTTGAACTACCTTTCTAGATGGCCCACCAAATTGTTATTGGGTCATCTTAAGTGCTTGCTTTGTCTTGAGAAACTATTCTTTAAGCTAAGCTTAGTATAATTAGTTCATCTCAGAAGCACTAAGCTAACCTTGATAATGTTGATTTATAATGTCTCTCTCATCGAAAAGGACCTAACTCTAAGCACTTTACCTAGATGAAGCGATAGTTGTTTTTCCAGCAAACTGTGGACCAATCATAACATTACTCTAGTTAATAGTAGAGTTAGTGCCACCACTTATACCAATAGGATAAACATCTTGCGTTAGAGCAGGTGATATGCCAATATGATTCATGAAGTTTTCATTAAATTAATCTTTGGAGTTGACACTCCTAATAAGCTCCTAAAAGTTTCTATTTGTGGCCTGCCCAGTAAGATTTGGGTTAAACAATGGATTATTATTATTATTTGTAAAGGCAGGGTTATCTGAAAATGTTCTCTAGTGATTATACTGGAGAGATTTCTTTGATTTCATTGAGGTTGATTGCCCTTATGTGTTATTACTTGGAATGGGCTAATTGTAGTTCAAATTTGATTGACTTTCTGAGGATGTTCCCTTTATATATTTGTTAGGGGGATGCTTCATCGCAATGTTATTGCTGTTTACTGCTTTGAAACTATTGGCTTGTGATCTGTACCCAGAGTTCTGTTATTGGATAGAGTCACTTGCAATAGACATTCTTTGGCTTTAGTTGTTAGACAATATCTAATTTTAACTTATTGGTGGTCTTTGATCAAATGACTTCATTCCAGATGCCATCATTAATGCTATAATAATTTTATTTACAACAATATCTTTATTAATACCTTCTCTTTAATCTTAATGGTCGAATGTCTGCGGCTAAGAGTATTATTAATCATGTAAAATCTTTTGAAAATGTTTTACCTGCTACTGTTATTATGCTGTTAGAAGTGACCCGGTTTTATCATTAATGATGAAATTGTCAACTTTGGGAAATTATTTTACATCTGCATAGTTTACGTTATTAGCGCTACTATAATCATTAAAAGATGTCTGCGAGGAGGGAACATAACTTTGCTTTTGAGAGTTAATGTTCACCATGTTCATTGACTGCTTGGTATAGTCTAAAAAATTTTAGTCACCATGTTAGAAATTTGACAGTTAAGATGTGTGACTTGAGCCCATTAAACTCACTGCTTTTTTATGCATCCCGATCTTTATCTCTAAAAGTTTATTTTGAGATAAAATATTTTGATGATATATTAGATTACTTTAGGTTTTATGTGACTATGTTTTTTAAATGCTCTGAGGATAGTTCTTAGATCCATTTACATCATTTTTCACAGGTGATGTTTTGATACTTTGGGAACTTTCAGCTTAAGAAAGTTATCCTGGGTTTTAAAACTTAGACATTTACTGCTGCTGAGTGGGAATAACCGTGTTCTTTTTTATAAAGTGGTTTATTTCAGATTTTTAAGGACTTTTATTGCTTAGTTGTGTCGTTTACTGAGCAATAAAGCTTTTAAGCATTTTTGGACTTCTCTAAACGGCTTAATTATCTGAATAAGATATCATTAATTTTATTAATAATACATGGGATATTTGTGCTATTAACGAAGTCTAAAGACTTAACTTGATTTTATCTGTTATTGAGCTTTTTCATAATCATTTTTATTATTTTACTAATTTATTTTTCACTTAATTACAAGCAAGTAATGTTCATTGGGGTTTTGGGGTTTTGGGGTTTTGGGG